ATATTGGACCAGAGTTGGCTCTCACTCAAACCCATAGACAGACTCCCACTGAGTTCAGTGGCAGCTGGATAGCCCATAATGAGTGTTTCAGACCCATTTGAAAACAGTTTGGAAATATTTCAGACTGTCCTGAATCAATTTTCTTCTACCCACAGACATATATAATGTGATGATCCTTAAAAACTTGCTACTTGCCTCAGATAAATAAATAAAGTTACTTAGTATTTATAGTATTCACTATAGTAATTTTAGGGAGGGATAGGGAATAATGCAGATACTGAGGCAATTATATTTATTATTTCTATTTTTATGGGAAATCACTGCATTTAAAACTTTGTAAAATTTCATTTTCCTGACAACACAGAAAATAACTGTGACAAATGCAAATTTAAAGCAAAAAAAAAAAAAAAGCCTTTTTGTTATGGATTGCAGCAACATATTCTAAGTTATAAATTACTTAATACATTTTGTGTAGTGAAATCCTTGTAAAATTGTAACAGAGATCCCCATCCCTCTTTCCAAGTGAGCAAGTTCTTAACCACTGAGCTGGAGCAGCACATTTCAAGACTTTACCCAAACCAATTATTTCCCATTCCTCTGATTTAAACCAGAGCTGATCTACTAGTTCCCACACAGACAATCATGAACTGAGGTCATCTGCTAAGCACAATGTCTATATAGATTGTTTAGTAAAGAGTTCTGCACGAGTTTGACAGGTTTGACTATTGACATATGTGATGTTTACTCAGGATTCCAACTAATACATTAGATTCTTATGAACTGTAGCCAAACCAGTAAGGAGTTCATCCTGACAATCTATTCTCACAATACATTTGGAAATAATCTATTAATTGCCATAGATATGTTTTCTTTAAGTCAAAACATGGTTTATGTTTTATATATAAATACACATACAATGTTTTAAAATATATAATTGAAAATATTTAATAAAGTATGGTGCTTTAGAAAAGAATGTTTTTTGAAACAACTAAAGTTCCTTTTGGTAATTGGATGCACTGAAGCTGAAATTGATAATTAACTGTCTTTCAGTTTAAGAGATCGTTATAAAGTCAAGCACCTAGCCCACATAATTACTATAACCTGACATTTTTCTTTGAATTCTTCACCTCCTTACAGTCTGTGATATAAAATATCTTATCTGTGTCTCCAGATGACAGCTCTTAAGAAACTAATCCTTTTCTGAAAATATCATCTACATCTTTCTAGGGAGCCATTCTAAAGATATTAACTAATTGGATTTAACCTACACTGAACATCTTACTTTCATTTTTCCTACAAGATAAGTCCTAATCTACTAGCAATAAATGTATAAGAAATGTTGATGCAACAAAGAAATATTTCCTAACAGAATTATTTCATTAACTTAACTCTTATACCTCCAATAACAAGAATCTTTGAGAGGATCGTAAAATGTGTATAAAACACCATTTCAGCCTTGTGAAAATTATTAGTGTGAAACAGTCACTTATTTGACAACTTGAAGTCATGGCTATAAGGGATAAAATCTTTCTTGCTAGAGACCTGAATATATGATTGTGAATGAAAGCATCCTGCATTCACATTCTATACACTATTTGTACAAAATATGCCTTGTGAGATATCATTTGAAAGCTAATAACTTGCTGGTCAATAATATCATGGCAAAACCGACACAGCCCCGACTAGGCAAAAATTATTAAACAGGTCTAATCTGGACAAAGGAATGTGTGTTTACCTCAATTTACATGGAATTAGTAAACAGGGTCCTTGAGACAGCAAGAGGGGAAAATGGCAGCAGACAAGCCAAATCTGCACTTTAGCTGTAGGATTTGATATGTAAAATATATATATTTTAGGTGTTGGAACATGTGAAAAGATGCCTGCTTGTCTGTCAAGGAAAGAGAACAGCCAGGTAAACAACTTGATCAGCAATGGGATCAGATAAACAATTTGGCCAGCAGTCCAATCAGGTAAACAACTGAGTTAGCAAACTAATCTTAGTGGTAGGCAGAAAAGTGTTTATACAGTATATAATGAATAACTTTGTAACAATGTATTTTAGGTAAGCAGCCGAATGTGGGGGCGCACTTGCATTTAACCCTATTGGTGGACTGATCACTCACTGAAGCAGCAAATAAACAACATTTACTACTTCAGCTCAAGAGTCTGTCTGTGAACTTGTGCGTTCTGGGTAGTGAGAAAAAGAACTGGTCAGCATACACAAGGGAGAAGAAAAAGCATGGAGACACCTTCACCACCAGACTCCATTTCACCTTCTTTACTGTTTGAAAAAACCAGGGGTAATCCTTTGAGGGTTAATCCTCAGAAGACTCTACTTCAAAGGGTGACTGGACTATAAAAACGAGGGGCAAAACCACCCTGAGGGCTCTTTTCCTATCACTCTTTCACCTAAGAAGACAAAAGAACCAGCTCTTTGACTTCATGGGAGATTCTGACCTAAGAATTTGGTCAACAATATTGCTGGGAACGTGTAGTAAGGATTTTACCTTGAACCAAGTCTAGCTTGTTAAGTTTAGCTACTAGAAAGCATTCTATCTTTATTTCTCTTGTACCCATTTTTGAATTTAATGCCTTATACTTGTACTCACTTACAGCCTCTCGCTTTGTAGTTAAATAAACCTTGTCTCATTCTTTAATCAAAACTAATCCAGTGTTAATCTGAACTGTTTGGTAACTCCATTTGAGTTAGCAAACAGTTGTACATTGACCTCTTATGGGGCAATGGAGCTCCAGTATCTGGATTGTCCAGGAGAGGGCTGGACAGTGCAGAACATACATTTGGGGGGACAATTTGAAACTAGGAGTGTGTTGGGGTCACCCTGCAGGTAATAACCAAGATTGCTGGAAGCCAGAGTGTGACTGGAATGTCGCTGACGGGCTGCTGAAGTCAGAGTTGCTGGGCCAGAGCTGTAGCTATACACAGACACTTAGGGTGTGACCTGAATGCTGTTAGGCTGTTTGTGAGTGGCCCAGGTTGGGAGCTAAAACAGCAAAGCATTGTGAGGCACCCAAGGTTGCATAGCAGGTGGTGATACAACCCCTCACTTGTCTGGATTGCACCCTGGAATGTGACATTGACATCTGGATGGTTAAAAGAAGGATTCAGGGACTGTGTATAGAGTTTTAAAATGCAATAAGCCCTTTACCAAAGGGCAGAAACTGATTTATCGCTTACCGACATACGTTCAGGAAAAACCAAAACAACTGTCAAATGGACTCTTAGGGAAGTTGCCTGTAACCCATATAGGAAAAGATGTAGAAGGCAATCAATTTTTTCCCCCAAGAAAGGATTTCCATTAGCTGAATCATATTAGATTTAGATTTTGGCCTCCTCTAGTGTCTCACAGGTTTGGCAGCTAGGCCAAGTATTTTACCATCTGTGCAGTCTCTTTCATACATCCAATGATACTGTTGTATTCAAATTAGCTATGGAGTAGGGGTGGTGGTTGGTTGAGTTATCTATGATATCTGAATGGTCTAGGACTAAAGACATGCCTTACTGTAGCTGTACACTGCATGCGTTTAATTCATAAAGTCAAAATGACTGAGAACTTAAAACTGGATGGTAATAGACTCTGAATTCCAGTGATGGTTGAACCTGATGATATTTGAACAAAAACAATTCTCAACCACACTTGTAGCTCTTTCCATCGCTGCACAATAACTCAACATTCTACATTTCAGTGACACACAGAGTGACAATCCTCGAATAGTATTATATAGATAATGCCATAGACATCTTCACAGATTTGTCCCTTCCATTTTTATCTCTGCTATCAGACCTCTACAGTGACATTCCCTGGATGAGAATGTGTGTATATTATATATGTACATACTAGCCTCCACTATAGTTCCAAATCTGAGATAATTAATGCATTCCTTTTATTTAACATAACTGTGTAAAACTTTTTAAAAACTCAGCAAGTAACACAAGCAGAATAAAAGTCTGGGAAATGCACAAATATTGTAAATATTTTCACTTTGGGCTCTTACCATATTCAACAAAATGTCTATGAAATTCTATAGAACACTCACAGAACTGTTCTACAATTTTACAAATTGCATCTTGGAGTCCATTAGTTTTTAGCTGACAGAACAGTAAACATTTTTGCTCCCATATTGAAACATCTTGATTATCTGAATGATCAACAGAAAATTCCTCTAATTGCATTCTTAGTATACATTTTAGCCTTTTATTATCTATTTTCTCAATAGGGACTCAGCAAATGATTACTGAATATTTATCTCTGTCTGATTTACTCTTGTCCCAAGCTGTTCTGGTGCACTGTCAAAAAACTGCCCTTTTCCACCACAGAGGAATAACATAATAATAATAAATCTAGCCTTCCCTCACAAATCACATGGAAACTTTTACTGACATTTTATTTTTCCCTATTTTTATTCAAACACACCACTTCTATAACAATATTGTACTCCCCTTTAAGACTGTTCCTCAGAGTTACTCATTTGATTCCCCAATATGTGTGACACCTTTGTTTGTGCAGGTTAATATCTGCAATACGGCGTAAAAAGAAAAAAAGGGTGGGGGAGGAGATGACCTTACAAAATAACAAAAGTTAATTAATTAAAATGGAATGGAAACAGTTACGGGGAAGGAGAAATCAAAATATGGAGATACATGTCCTGCCTCTTGAGGGTACAAAGCCAACTCTTTTTGTTCCAGTATGTTGCAACAGGATGATAGAGGTGATAGGAATAATTATGAATTTAAGAAAATGCTCTCAAGTTATGATTAGGCCTTGAAATGATTTATCAGAAATATTTTTACTACACACAAGTCCTTTAAATATCTATATTCACTTTTTTCTGAACTAATTTCTCATCACTATTATACTGTACTTGCAATTCACAAGAATAACATATACATTTTATAATTTTTATTGATGTTAATGGAACAGATTTAAAAATCAAGGTACAGAATATAAAGTTAGCAGGTGTTTATCACAATATATACTTACTGCTATTTGGATTATCTCCTATAATATGGTGTCGGCCACTCCAGTACCAAAGAAGCAAGGTAGCATCACGAGATCCAGAGACAATATAGCAATCACCACCAATATAGGATTCTGATCTGGCAAGGCAAGTAACTACATCCCAGTGGCCAAAAACAATCTGAGTTAATTTTCCTGCAGTAAAGAAATTACAAGTTTGGTTTCTGTGTGTATTCGTATTCTTTTTTATACAACTGACAACAAGCACATTTAAATAACAGTGAAACCAAATAAATTTAATTCAACCATGTTTTTGGCCCTTTTGGACATTTGTAGCTAGCAGTAATTTCAACAGCCCAAAGGCTGCTCTAACTTGATGCAGGATGGATGGCTCTGTACAGAGGCTGCTCAAGGATCAGGAAAGTGCAAAGGTGAGCTTTAAACTATTCACCTTTGCACTTCCTGGACCTTTGTTCTGTGCAGATCAGCCACACCCCAAGCCCTGATCTTAAATGTTAAAAGAACATAAAAACATAAGAGCGGCCATACTGGGTCAGACCAAAGATCCATCTAGCCCAGTATCCTGTATTCCGACAGTGGCCAATGCCAGGTGCCCCGGAGGGAATGAACAGAACAGGTAATAATCAAGTGATCCATTTCCTGTTGCTCATTCCCAGCTGCTGGCAAACAGAGGCTAGGGACACCATCCCTGCCCAACAGTCATTGTTCCATGAGCTTTTAACTTCCTGCTGTGCAAAATGATTTTACACAGTCTCATGAATGATTGTCAATATATATAATCAAATGAACTGTTCCATAACGATATTACAATATTATATTGAAAGAACCACATTAACATCAGCTGCAGGCCTACAACGTTAGTCATCTTTTTCTAATACTCCAATCAGTTTTTAAGTAATACGGGCTCCAAATATCTTACAGTGGAAATTTGATCAGAACACAAAACAAAAACAAAGAAACAAAAAATTCTACTGACTATGAGTAGTATATTGTGTAAATTTGCTTTTACATTAGATCAACGAAACAAAGAACCACTCACTATTACTAAAACCAATCAACTGAATGTAGAGTCCATGTAAAACAAATCAACCCACCCAATCAAAATAATATTGTAATATAATAAATAGCTTTGGTTCACCTTTTTACACAAGGAAACAATTAATTGATATCACAATGGTTTGTATAGCTTTCATTAGCAAAACAGTAAACTTTTTGCTTTTCTATTACATCCATTATCTTCAAAATAATATCCGTAAGCTATTACAAGCAGATCTTTATAAAGAAGAGTTTCTATAATTTCTTGGGTGGTAAGCACTGTACATTAAATACTGTTACTGTGACTAACAGCCATATAGTGACATAGGAGCCCATAAGAAACAGGATATTGTGTTTACAATCACCTGTTTCTGTAGAATAAACCCGAAAGCTCTTGTCCCAGAAGCCACAGATAAGAATGTAGCGATTATCTGCTGTGACCACGAAACAATGTGCATTGATCTGGATGCTCTGATCCACAAGGTCTGTGATCTGCCGTTTGTTCACACCAGAGTTATTGGCTGTAAAGAAATGCAAAACACATTTATGAATAAGCCATTCCAACACCTTCCTGTCATGCACTTAAGGGAGAAAATGAATACATTTAACTTTCAATGAACTGTGAATCTGTTGTTCAGTAAGCATTTTGAATATAAACATTTGGAGCTGTCTATACTGGATGTCAGAAATATAAAATTATTGTGAGTCTTCGGGTTTCCCTTTGAATAAGACAAAAGATTTTATATGCTGTGAAAATTCTTGATAAACTGACTAACACATTGTATAATATGTGCTAATATTTTAAGTAAGTTGCAGAAGTATTCTCCGATAAAACAGCTACACACTGAACTATGGGAAAATGAAGGCGGTCCATTTATAATCCCAATCCTAACAAAGAAAATGTATGGAGTCAATTCTTACATAAGAACGGCCATACTGGGTCAGACCAAAGGTCTATCAAGACCAGTATCCTGTCCTCTGACAGTGGCCAATGGCAGGTGCCCCAAAGGGAATGAACAGACAGGTTATCATCAAGTGATCCATGCCCTGTCACCCAATCTCAGCTTCTGGCAAACAGAGGCTAGGGACACCATTCCTGCCCATCCTGGCTAATAGCCATTGATGGACCTATGTTCCATGAATCTATCTAGCTCCCTTTTGAACCCCGTTAGAGTATTGGCCTTCACAACACCCTCTGGCACGGAGTTCCAGAGGTTGACAGTGTGTTGCGTGAAAAAATACTTTCTTGTGTTTGTTTTAAACCTGCTCCTTATTAATTTCATTTGGTGGCCCCTTGTTCTTGTATTATGAGGAGGAGTAAATAACACTTCCTTATTTACTTTCTCTATACCACTCATGATTTTATAGACTTCTATCATATCCCCCCTTAGTCATCTCTTTTCCAAGCAGAAAAGTCCCAGTCTTATTAATCTCTCCTCATACGGAAGCCGTTCCATAACCCTAATAATTTTTGTTGCCCTTTTCTGAACTTTTTCCAATTCCAATATATTTTTGGGGGGGATGGGGTGACAACATCTGCACGCAGTATTCAAGGTGTGGGCGTACCATGGATTTATATAGAGGCAATATGATATTTTCTGTCTTATTATATATCCCTTTTTTGATGATTCCCAACATTCTGTTCGTTCTTTTGACTGCTGCTGCACATTGAGTGGATGATTTCAGAGAACTATCCACAACTATCTCTTTCTTGAGTGGTAACAGCTAATTTAGACCCCATCATTGTATATGTATAGTTAGGAATATATTTTCCAATGTGCATTACTTTGCATTTATCAACATTAAATTTCATCTGCCATTTTGTTGCCCAGTCACCCAGTTTTGTGAGATCCTTTTGTAGCTCTTCGCAGTTTGCCTGGGACTTAACTATCTTGAGTAGTTTTGTATTATCTGCAAATTTTACCACCTCACTGTTTACCCCTTTTTCCAGATCGTTTATGAATATGTTGAATAGGACTGGGCCCAGTACAGATCCCTGGGGACCACCACTATTTACCTCTCTCCATTCTGAAAACTGACCATTTATTCCTACCCTTTGTTTCCTATCTTTTAACCAGTTACCAATGCATGAGAGAACCTTCCCTCTTATCCCATGACTGCTTATTTTGCTTAAGAGCCTTTGGTGAGGGACCTTGTCAAAGGCTTTCTGAAAATCTAAATACACTATATCCACATGCTTGTTGACCTCCTCAGAGAATTCTAGTAGATTGGTGAGGCATGATTTCCCTTTACAAAAACCATGTTGACTATTTCCCAACAAATTATGTTCATCTATGTGTCTGACAATTTTGTTCGTTACGATAGTTTCAACCAATTCTTGGTGGGGTATCCTCTGCGGTGAACATCTCATCTTGTGTTGTGTGGCCTTGATGTAAACCACACTTCCACACCCTGGATAGCTAGGTGGGATGGGCATTGGTGCAGTTGCAGAAGGGGAAGATGGTCTACGCCTATAACCCCTATTCCTTTTTCTCTGTAGGTCCTGACAGGTAGACATGGCAGAGTAATAGAGGGATTATTGAGGCCTGTAGTGTTTCCTGGAAGGGACTGGGGTGTACAACTCAAGGGACTTTAGAGTCATCCTTGAGTCCTTTAGCCCATGGAGCTTTGTCTCTCTCTGTTCCGAAAAGAATGAAGATCACTCAAAGGGCAGGTCCTGGACAGTCTGTTGGACCTTGTGCAGAAGCCCAAGGACTGTAACAAGGAACTCCTATGCATGGAAGCCATGTACCTAGCAGCCATATGAGCCGCATCCAGAGCAGCTTATAATGAGACCTTTGCCACCGATTTTCCCTCGTCCACTAGGGAGGAGAACTATTGCCTAGCATCTTGTGGCAGCAAGTCTTTACATTTCTGCATGGAGTCCCATGTATTAAAGTCATGTCTGCCCAACAACATCTGCTAATTTGCAATTCTGAGTTGTAACCCCCACCCACAGAATAAACTTCCCTATCAAAGAGGTCTAATCTTATTGAGTCCTTTGATTTTGGGGTTGCACCCTGATGTCCCAGCCTCTCTCTCTCGTTGGCTGCTGATAGTATTAGGGACCTGGAGGTGAGGGGATGGGTGTAAAGGAGCTGATAACTTTGGGCAGGTACATAGCACTTTTGCTCAGCCCTTTTTGAAGTGGGGGGAGGGGATGCAGGGATCTGACATAGACTCTTAAACAAGATCCATAATGGCCTCATTGAGAGGAATGACTTTAGAAGGACCTGCAGTGGCTAAAATAACGAGCAGGCTGTGGGAGGACTGTTTTACTACCTCCATCTGTATGCCCGGATTTAAGGCCATCCCATTTGAACAATTCCTGGTGAGCCTTATAGTCATCTGGAGGAGGCAACATGCCACCTCCTGAGACTGCCGTGTCAAGGGAGGAGGAGGAGGAGGCCAGCACTGGTTTCTGATGCTCTTCCTCCCCTTCTTGATCTATGGGATCCTGTTGTGCCTGCTCCTGAAGTCTGGTGGCAGCTCAGTACCGGAGTTGGGAAGAAGTGCCCACCTGGTGGGAAGGTGAAGGATGCCTTTTTTTGAAGCCACTGAATAGGAGCACCTGGCATATGCTCTGGAAACTGGGGAAAAATACCACAAATTCCAAAAGGGCCACAGGATCAGTGTAAGACCCCAGTGACCTCCTGGCCCACCACTTGATGGTACTCCTGTGACTGGATCCATGGAAGGGTGGGAACGTTTGGAGGTGTAATGAGTGCAGATTTGAGGACAAGAGACCCAATCTCCTTCTCAGAAGAGGATGACTCTTTTTCTAATGACCACGGGGGTGCAGCCCCTGATGGTGCCGGTGATTGGTGCCCAGGTGGAGAGGTTCATAGTGAGGCCAGCATCGCAGGTTTCCCCTCTGATGGTACTGTTGGGCGAGCTGTCATGGGTAGGTGAAGTTTGTCCAGTACTGAGAGTTGTAATGATCCAGCTGGTTCCCCTGTGCCCGCTGACACCAATAGCAATAGCTGTTTTACTGCCAGCCAAACCAGTACCAACAGCGAGAGGAAATCCCTGGCAGCCGCAAATGCCTCAAGCATAGTGTTGGTACAATGCAGTGTCGCAGATATGAGAGCTTCTTCTGGCTCTGGACTCGATGGTACCCGTGTAGGTGCTGGAGTCAACGTTGCCAGCTTCTGCGGTAATGAGGCAGAGGAGTGTTGTGGATCACCCTCTTTTGGTAGTCTGCTTTTTATGACTCTTCCTAGGCACCGGGGGATCTGGATCAGTGCTGGGACTCTGACACAGTAGAAGCAGCACTCCTTACTGACACTGGGGCATTCAGTGCTAAGTGTGACCAGCCTGGCTCAGATGGAGATCTCAGTCCCACCTTCATGAGCAGAAAGTTTAACCTGGCTTTCCCATCTTTTTCTATGTGAGGCTTAAGTCCTCGCAAATTTGGCAATGGTCCCCAGTATGAGCTTCCCCAACGCACTTGAGCGCGAGTCACTCAGGGGCATAGCTTTATTACAGGAAACGCAGGGCTTGAAGCCCAGTGACTGAGGCATCCCTTGGCACCGAGGATTGACAAAAAAGCAGATAAACACAGAAAATCTACCCTAATGGGTACCACTGAGAAATAAATATTTCTGGTGATTGTGCATGGGGTGCGCACACACCAATAGTAGAATGCACATGTGCAAACACTCGAAAAAGAATTAATATTTGCCTGTTTTCTGTGTAAAATGAAGCACAACATACAAATATAGCTTAATCAACAATTCTTGAAAACACTGTTTTCAAATATATAACCATACTTTTAATTTTGACATACCAATCAATGGATCCATTTCAATGGGAAGATGATGGGCTTGATCCAAAGAATATCCTGGGGCTCCCCTGAGGCCTACAGATGAAAGGAGGAATAAAACAAATATGGAACTTGCTTACGAAATTTTCACATTGTTTTTCCAGTATTAGAATTGTAAAATGATTATACCCCATAAAAATGCTTAATCTCCTAACAATTCTTGTTATATCAATTTTTAAGATTCCTTTTTCCATGTGACAAAATATATAAGTTATTTACTCAAATAAATAAATAAAATTAAATACATATATATATATATATATGCTAACTTTGAGCCAACATCTGCTGTTGCTCACTTCAGCAAATCAACTCTTGATTTACAATGGTGTAATCGACCATTATGTTATATATAAATACTGGGACAGAGCCTCACAGCGCCATCACAGTGGTACAAAAGGGGAGGGAAACTGGCTTAAACAGCCAACTGGAGATTCCTTTTCTGGAGGGAAATCCATGAGTGGTGTAAAACTGGCATAGCTACCTCTATTCCAGCCACTGCTAGTATAAGAGATATTTCAGGGGCCTAGCCAGGGAGTGCCGCATTTAGCAAACCTAGTCCACACAAGTGCTACTAGAGAGTCATTACTGTTGGTGCAATGTAGAGCTATAATTAAAAAGTCATTATTTGCCAAGCGTCACCATACAGTGTATTGGACCAGAGTTTCCTCCTATGCTTGAATATGTGTGGATGTGAATATCCTCCTATATCTTGAATATGTGTGGTTAACTGTTGGTAGTTCTTGGCTTTTACAATGATGACCCCTATATGTGTGTGAAGAAGATAACATTTACACATTTCTCTGAACTGATTGTTCAATAGTGAGTGATGGAGCTAGTAATAAGATGAAGCCCCTCTCCCATCACACATGGATAGTTTATATTAACATATTATTCTGACAGAGTAGATCTATCTTAAATGGCAGTATAAAAGTACAAGTGCATAAATTCCATCCGTTTGGGGAATAACATTCTAAACCCATGTTGGGTGGAAATGTTCTGCTCATTGAAACTGCTTCATTATTTTTTCAGTTTACTTAAAAGAAAACTATAATTAAAAAGAAAATGATATCTAATTTGCTTTGTGCTGCAAACTGAAATTGTGTAAAGAAAGCAGCACTTATCATCTATAATCTGTGATGTTTTAATCAGAATTGACATTTCAGAGTTTTCTACTATTTGTGGCCAATTTACTGAAAATACATTTATCAAATCCTCTAACAAGTACAACTCTGGACCCAGCGAATCAGTCATGTTGCAAGATCTCAAGTTTGGTATCCACAATTGATTGGGAGAGGGGACTAAGAGATTTAAATTGGGACATAACATGACGATCTTTTCCATGCCAGATCACTAGACTGTTTGCCCTTACAGTGTATGTAATTTATATTTATATATATATAAAATGTCTGGAAAGTGACGTATAAATATATATATATTTATTTCCTTTTCTTCCCAAGTCTTCATAAGAGGAAATGGAGACTACTGCAGAATATGAATATACACACATACTATAACGGGGTTCAAAAGGGAGCTAGATAGATTCATGGAAGATAAGTCCATTAATGGCTATTAGCCAGGATGGGCAGGAATGGTGTCCCTAGCCTCTGTTTGCCAGAAGCTGGGATTGGGTGACAGGGCATGGATCACTTGATGATAACCTGTTCATTCCCTTTGGGGCACCTGGCATTGGCCACTGTCAGAGGAGAGGATACTGGGCTTGATGGACCTTTGGTCTGATCCAGTATAGCCATTCTTATGTTCTTATGGTCTAGGCAGGGGTCAGCAACCTTTCAGAAGTGGTGTGCCGAGTCTTCATTTATTCACTCTCATTTAAGGTTTTGCGTGCCAGTAATACATGTTAACATTTTTAGAAGGTCTCTTTCTATAAGTCTATAATATATAACTAAACAATTGTTGTATGTAAAGTAAATAAGGTTTTTAAAATGTTTAAGGAGCTTCATTTAAAATTAAATTAAAATGCAGAGCCCCCCGGACTGGTGGCCAGGGCCCGGGCAGTGTGAGTGCCACTGAAAATCAGCTCGCATGCCGAAAGCGGCACGCGTGCCATAGGTTGCCTGCCCCTGGTCCAGGTATACTTAATCCTGTTTTAGCATGGGGGATTGGACTGAGTCACCTCCTAATTACCCTTCCATCCCTACATTTCTATGATTCTATACAAGACTTAGAATATTGTGCCCCAAGCCCCTGAGTGTTTTAGCTTGGGTTTCTTTAGATGCATTCTGAAGTGTATCTGCCTTGGTGAATTAGATATGGTGAGGTAAGAGATAATATACCAGTAGTAGTATTGCTGTGGAGTCTCTTAATATACAGTCTCTTAATATAGAGTGAGTTGCAATGGTCTAGTCCTGAGGACACTTCAGTGGTAAAGTCCTAATCTGATAGAGAGAGGAAAAGTCTCCTGGTCAACCAAAGATGGCAGAAAAAATCTGCTGGTGTTGTGATGTGTGTATCCAGGAGCATGGTATATCAACGTCAGACAAATCATCCTCCTTTCTTATACAGGAGTTTGCTATACCAGGCTGCAAACATTAATGATTTTTTCTTTTCTATATTACTGAGCCACAACTTTTAGGCCCTATTTATCACTGCAAATAATCCTCACAAAAGGGGTGGGATGGAGAGGCAAAATTGGTGGAGCAAGACACTTGTGAGGGAGGTAGCACAATTTGGGTGCAGGATAGTTGGTGGGGGGAAGGCAAATGACTCTTTCCAAGGTCAGAAGACAAACCCAATCTTCTGTAATATCAACAGACATTTGAAACTTACTATCAACATACCTTTTAAATTAAGAATCTTCCACTGACAATCCTTATATTTAGTAATAATATAGTCAGTTTCTACTAATGAAATAAATCTCTAGAGTAGCATGTCATAAAAGTAAGAGGGTTCTCAATTAACCTTGTAAAATCAGTTTCACAAATCAGTAGTTTAACACCTCACCTTAGAAAGCTAGAGACTTAGTATTAATGCACAATGCACAAGCTATTATGGAAAAATTAAGCTGTGTTTACATCTTATGATGGTACCTGAGTATCTCTGTGCAGTTTTATGTTCATGAACCTATTCTAAATGCTAGATTGTTGGATTATTATTGTTGGAATAATTAAGTAAAAAACACTACAATTAAATGATGTCACAGTTTTATAATAGAATACACACCTTTAAAAGTTCTTTTATAATTTAAATCTAAGTAGGCAAGAGAGACTTTTTAAGATTGTAAACCAAACCAGCAAGAATTAGAAAATTCAGCATTAAGACTGATACTCTGTCCTAAATTATGCAGTTGTGAAGTAACAGAAAATGGCACATACAGTGTAAAAGCTAAGAACAGTGTAGGATTTATTTTGGATTTCTTGACTGTTTTGTGTACCCTTCTCTTTTGCCTTATTTATTCAAAAAGCATTGTGGTATTTTAGATAAGTACCAGGGTCGCACAAAGGATGCATGGTTTAGTTCACATATGGTTTGTGAACTGAATTCTGCATGTTAGCAAAGAGGTTCATGTTTTACGTGGATGTAAGTGAACAAAATAGTTACATGAACCTCAAGGAAAAATCAAGGCCTATGAGGCTTTTCTTAACTAAAGCATGGTTGCTAGGGAACACCTGAGGTTTCCTTAGCTACCGCACCAGCTATTATTTACCTTTGTCTCACTAATGTGGTGGGAGCGGGTGCATTTCACTACTCCCACTGTTCTACTGCCCACTAAAAGATCCTTTTAAGAAATGGAGGAGTCAGTAACACATACTAGGAGGTTCCCCAAGGGGCCTGCTAATGGGCAAGGGTGGTTAGCCAATGTCCCCAGAAGACTTGAAAAACTTACAGAAGACTAACAGAACAATGTTATTAAAATTAGTATTAAAGTACTGTAGGAGACTGACTTGTTTATGGTCTCTTACACTGGGTTTCTCAACTGCCAGTGTCACAAATGATTGTAAGCAAATGACTCTTTTAGCCACATGGCCACCACCTGTAGCAGGCTTAGATTACTAATTCTGAACAGAAAACATCTTTTAAATACATTTCCATTTGACAATTTATATACATCAATGACTACTTCTTACCCTTCAAACTTTTACGCTATAGGGCTGAGCAAAATTAATATAATTCTCTTTTAAAAAGAGATGTGTAAAACTCTGGATAAACTTTGGGTACCTCTGAATGTGGAGGTACCTGATATAATACTCAAAGGTAATAATAAGTCAGATACCTGGATTTGCTTAAACTACCTCTAACCAGATAGCTGTGCAACACCATTTACATGTGTATTGCACAGTGTCAGAGCACAGAAACATTTAGAATAGAAGGGAATGTTGAAATAGATTGATGACCACTTAGTTGTTCACAGGGGTAATGATTAAGTTCTTCTACTTCATCCATACTGGACACTCTGTAAGTGGAGCCAAGGAACATAGTCCTTTAGTTTTTGCTTGTACTATTGGCTCTTGTGACAGACATCTGAATATAGCTGACACTCCCTCAAATAGTGAACAGTGATATACACATACTAGCTAGCCCAGCACTATGTATTCCTGAAAATTGTGGCATATTATATATGTGATGTCAAGAATAATAGTACTGTCCCAAAAATGTTACATTAAAGACTGATACCGATGTAGCAACAAAGCAATTGGCTGCCAAGCTGATGTGGTGGATTTAGGGAGGGTGCTTCTTGGAGTGATACCATGGAAAATGGACACCGTGAGTACTCAATATACAGAGGGATAAGTGGGTAAAAATTTGTTGCCTATCTGTAGGCGAGTGGGATTAACCCAGCTACTCTACTTGAAACTTAAAAGATGCACTGCTTACAGAATGTTTAAATAAGAGATCTATCTATGAGCACATACCTACTGTGTTGTGCCATCTATTCACTGCAAAAAGTCTGCTGCAAGTCACAGTTACCACTGCAGGAATGGTAAGGTGGGGAAGCGTGTTGGCTGCCACGTGTGTGACAGGAGAATTTGATGGAAATTTCAGCACCATTATAACATCCTGCTGCATCTGATCTTTAAACATGAGTGGACTCTGTGGAAGGAAACACTGTTGAGTAGAAAGGAGAAGAGAGCAGAAGAAAACAGAAGGGATAACACAATTAGTGAGGCGGTCTGAGGGAAAACAAGGTTAAAATGAGTAGGCAAACGTGTACATACAGGGAAAACAATGCTATCTGCACTAGCAATATAGGAGGGAAAACTATTGCTGGATCATTACATGAGGACAAATAGAGAAAAGGTTTGGTTAAGGTCCATTAGGTTATCATTGCAGGTTGTAAAGTGATAAATCAGCATTAATTCAAAAAATCAAAATACAAAATGATCAGAGCAGTTAATATTCATACACTGTAGAGAGGAGTCAAATAGAAGAGTCAGTTAACCCAATATTACATCAAAAACATAAAATTGTATAAAGTCCAATGGCTGAAACAAGAATTTTTAGAGGAGGAACTCAGAAATCGCACAGATGACTAGTTATTTTTCTAGTGCATTGTAGATTTAAGTTAATCCTTTAGAGAATACTACATGAATTGACTTTACTTTTTATGCCTTACAAATCATATTAAAAGATATAAATGATTATAAAATCAGGGTGATAATTCTGTTTGTAAAACATAATTTTTTCTCATGGCTAGTAACATTTTTATCATCAGTGAGATTATATGAATCACAGAACTGGAAGGGACCTTGAGAGGTCATCTAGTTCAGTCCCCTGCACTGGTAGCAGGACTAATTATCTAGACCATTCCTGACAGGTGTTTGTCTAACCTGTTCTTAAAAATCTCCAATGATGGAGATTCCACAACCTTCCCAGGCAATTTATTCCAGTGCTTAACCACCCTGACAGTTAGGAAGTTTTTCTTAATGTCCAATCTAAACCTCCCTTGCTGCAATTTAAGTCCACTGCTTCGTGAAGCCCAATTTGCATGTATTAGATGTCTTCATAAATTAACTGCTGTATCAACTAGGATGAATTCTAGGAATTTTCTGAATCTACTGATTTAAACTGCTGTCTAAAATACATTATCTACATTTTTAAGATCTAAAATATCTAGCTATCATGTAAATTTGCAGATACTGTTTAATTAAAAAAAGAGCAAAACTGAAATTTCAGAGGAATTGCCATTTGCACAATGTGATTTTCCTTATGGGTAATGGAAACTATGAAAGCTAATGAAAATATTATGATCTGTTTACTGAAACTTCATAGGAAGTTTCTTGCCCTCAGATGTTTAAACCAAAGACACTAATAGGGACAGATATCAGTATTTTTCACTTTGGCTACATAATATAATTCTTTGTAATGAGCACATAAAAGAGTGCGTTGGTAATTAATGCTGAAGTTCAAATTGAAATTACAAGGACATGATGTGTTCTTTCACAGGAATGGACAGAAGGGTTCCAGCATGATTTGAACTACATTTCTTCATTCCTGACAAGCAGCCAAGGTTCATAAATCACCCTGGAACGTTTCCCCCTTTTTTTGAAACAAAATGTTCAATATGAGAAAAGCATGCAGTCATTTTTATATCATGCAGTTATACTCAGCAAATACATATTTATGAAGATAGTTTTTAAATCCAAGATTGGGCAACAGAAGTCAGTGACTGTAGGAAGTTAGAGCTATTCCAACTTCCACCGTGCTGTTTAAGAGCCTGCATGCAATTTCTGCACAGAGTAAGGGCTATGGCATTGTAGGCAACTCAGGGCATGAAAAGAAAGTGTTACTTAAATAGGTATTTTATGACCTATAAAGGATCCTCAGGTTGAAAGGAAATAAATTCTCAACCAGCAGTTATATCTCACCAGGTGCATGGCAGAGCTCCGAGGCGGATGTGGCTCAATAAGCAACTGAGATGGCGTCTGTCCAAAGTTCTGTATCTGTGCCTCCATGGCCTGCAGGGAAAGGAGAGTGATTGTCATAATCAATATGCATCAAAGAGATAGGTCAACACACTATTTGACAATGCAAGCAAATCCTAAGTCAGCCATGAAAAAAGTCCAGAAAATTCACCGGGTGCTCTTCTCTCAGGCTGCAGACTCATCCAAGTGTTAGTATTTTGTAGACAAGCTTTGCTTCTCCTTTCAAGCATGCTTCAGTTAACCAAATAACCGTTCTTATTTCCAATAGCTGGGGTTACATGTGAAAATGTTAACCTGTGAGGACATGCAGTTAAGGTCTTGAGAGATTTCTTTGCACCAAATACAACACATATACCTTAATAAAGTCCTTTGTAAGGAGGAAAGTATGAGGATCTCTAATAAAATACGCCTCTGGGATCTTAAAGGGGGGGAAGCAAATTGAGAAATAAAATTCATGGATAATGTATAAGAAAAAAAATAATCACAATTTCACTAACACAGCAGTAAAAAATAAAAAATACTGGAAATATATCATTTCAAGATACACTATAGCTACAGGAGTTACAATAAAAGTCTTTAGATAATGATCTAACTTCTAGGTAGTATTCTTTTACCAGATAAGACAATATTTAGTTTTCGGTTTATTTTGGATGAGTTTTCACACGACAGAATATCGACTGTTGTAAAACCATGAAATATATACCGGTAATTAGTAATTTCAACTTTAAATTTCAGGACCAAATTCTGCGCTCAGTGTACGACACAGAGTAACTCCACAAATAGTAGAAATTGGCCCACAGACTGAGATGTTTCAACCACCTACACAACCCACTCAGACATCTAAGTGTTTTTATGATATATTTAAAACAATTGCTGGCATTTTTTTTTATTACTGCCTCCACTAATGATACTATTTAAGAACTCTATGCACCTTTCAGATACCCAGGCTGCATTTCAGTGGATTTCAGAAAATCCAGAACTACACTTTAATTTAAGCAGCTGATTTTAAAAAAATACTAAGTAGTATATACCCATATATTCGAAAGGACTGTGCCATAAATAATTTTCTTGTTTGTGTCAATGAGTTTCTCACCTTAGCACGTAAAGAAAACAGAACATGAAAAAGCCCCCTAAAATATAAACCACATTGATAAATTATATTATTTCTTCTAAAACAATTTAAGAGGCAGTAGAACCTCTTCAATGTGCAGTCTGATTAAATATACTCTTTATAATCCACACAAAACAACTGCTGGCCTCTCCCCATTTCTCAAAAAAGAGGTTGTAATAGATGCCATAGGTCACTTCCTAAAATGTCGGTAATATTTAAAAAATATATTACAATATATTTGCTAATATTCAATGAATTATGACAAATAAAATACTGATGAAATAAGAATCTAAGACAAAGATTTATGATAGCAAAGGATGGAGAAAGGAAAACCAGGTTGACTTGTTCAGATGACAAGAGATGGACACTTAAAATTTACCTGTCAACAGTATCCATTATTTTACAACTAAAGATATCCTAGTAAATGCTCACTACCTTTACTTTATGCTACTGATCTTGAGAACAATGAAGTTACTGGTAATCCTGGCAGTGAACTGAATGAGTACCGGGATCAGGACCTTAATCTGTAAACAGGCAATACTGGGTATTGTTGTCAGCTTCTACTCACAAAGATATTAAGTACAAAAACCCAAAACAATCCTAAATTCCTCTATGAATAATAAGTATTATCTTTTTCTTGTGAAAATGTCTTTTTAAAAAACATTTGGAACTTTTTAAGGAAATGAAACTATATAAATAGCTTTATTTAAAATGTATGGAACATTACTATGCTACTGCACAAGGGGCACCATAAATAATAAGAATTTGCAGGTCTGTAGCTCTTGTTCTTCTACACAGCTCAAAATACTTTAGAAAGGTAAACAAGTCTTATCATCCCCATTTTATATATGCGGTGAAAACAGACACAGAGAGGTTAAATGACTTGCCTAAGGATACACAGCATATCTGCAGCAAATTTGGGAATAGACCACAGTTCTCTTGATTCCTAGCCCTGGGCTCAGTTTACGAGATCAGTGTTTCCCAAACTTGGGACGCCGCTTGTGTAGGGAAAGCCCTTGAAGGGCCGGACCGGTTTGTTTACCGGCCCCATCCGCAGGTCCAGCCGATCGCGGCTCCCACTGGCCGCGGTTCGCTGCTCCAGGCCAATGGGAGCTGCTGGAAGCGGCGCGGGCCGAGGAACATACTGGCTGCCGCTTCCAGCAGCTCCCATTGGCCTGGAGCAGCGAACTGCGGCCAGTGGGAGCCGCGATTGGCCGGACATGCGGACGGGGCAAGTAAACAAACCGGCCCGACCCGCCAGGGCCTTTCCCTGCACAAACGGTGTCCCAAGTTTGGGAAACACTGTACTAGATCATAGCATACACAGATCAAAAGCAGATTCCCTAGAACATCTCTAGTAACTCAAGCAACAGGCAGGAATAGGAAATAGCTATTATAAACAATTTTTGTATAACTGGCGAGGCACTTACAGTATTTCAAATTAATCACAGGACCTGTACAGGCATAGAATTGTTTTTTCTTAATAATCACATCTCTTGCTTTGTATAATGTTCCTTAAAATTCTATTCCAATGCATCATTTTCCTTTCTACCATCCACCAAGTCCTCAGTACCAATGTACAAAGCACTACCATCACTCCTTGAAACACACAATCATTCTAGCTAATTTAATATTTTTCTTATAGAATTACATTTACTTTTATTTCACCTTCAAAATGTCCTCAATGTAGAAAGAGCATTAGCTCTGAAAGCACTAGCTTACCAAATTTAACGTCTTTGAAACAGCAAAACTACAATTATATTAGTGTTAGCTTACTTAGTAAGGCATTGCAGGAAAGCAATTTGAGGAACTGAATTGAGACTCCCTGCTGTTTTTCCACACATAAAACAAGATTTGTACTCAAACACTTCAGGGAGTATTTGGTAGTGTATGGCCAAGCTTTTATATCACAGAAAGCAAGGTCTTATATCAAAGAAAACAAGGTCTTAAAGGAAGGAATTAGGGGATACCTGTCCCAAAGCTGCTAGTTGTATTTCACAGGAAACAAAATGAATCTGCTAAATTACATGCAATTTGCAAGTTGAAAAGGACATCCAGCTCAAACACCCTCATTTATGTAACCAGGAAAAATACAACTTTATAACGTTCAAAATAAAAATATTGCTTCTCATAAAGTAGCTAATGGATAAACATGCTGTACATATATTGTACATCAATATAGATACATCTTAGTTACAATAAGTAATACTCTAAAAATTATGTATTTTGCTCATGAGCAATAGATGCTTGTGTTTATATTTTCACATTTACAGACATACTTGACATCTGCCAGGGCACTGGGAAGCTGAAGGTGCTCTGCACCTTTCAGGATCAAGCCCTATTGTCACCTTCCTGAAGAATGAACATGCAACTATGTTTGTCTCTCTCTTAGTGTGGCCGCTGACTTTGGCATTTTGGGTGAGTATTTTATTTTCACATAAAAGAAGCAGAAATCAATTCTTCCATTAAATGACAGAGGGAATCTTTGTTTCTTCAGGTGTAATAGGTAAAAAGGGCACATTTATTAAACGTCAAAAAACCCAAAAACTCAAGTGTTTCTTTGACAGTGGTTTCTTCATTACTGACTGAACTTGTAAACACAAACAGAAACATTTTATGGTATAATGGCTTTTTATTAGTTATTTTCCTCCTATATATTTTTAAGATGAACATGGAGAAACACAGGGACTATTATTGAGGAAGAAGTCACTGGTCCATCTAGTCAACTAGCCCCTCTTTGATAATAATGACCAACGCTGCCTATGTAAAACATGAAGCATAAATCACTTTAATGCATGTAATTACGGATAACTAAATAGCATGGAAGGAGTGGGAGAATCTCTTAAAATTACTTATATTTTTATTTACAAATAATAAAACAATGACGTTACTGGCTACAGAGCCACTTCATTTTCTTCCCATTTGTCAATTATTCTAATGTCAGAAAAAATTACTGCCATGTTCAGTTAAGCTTTCTAGGATATATTATTTCACCAAAACTTCATTATGTTTCACCTAATTTTTCTGCACTTATTTAATTGTTAATTCCCATGATACTGGTGAGTCCACAGAAATTTTGTCCTACATGATCCTGTTGCAAAGTACCTTCGCTTATGCCAAAATCCAGTGCCCATCTATTGCATAGAGAAAGGGAAGGATATCTGTCCCAAAGGTAACTTGAAAAGGCTACTTGTCCTTAGGCACAGTTTGTTGGGTAGGTATTATGTTAATAAAGTGGCATCCGATGGAATGACTGGGACTTCAGCTAATACATTTGAGCAAACCACTAATAATGCAGTGGAATTAATCTGGAATCTGAAATTAATCCTACCAACACTACAAGAAGAAGAATTCAGCGTGGACTCCTCCTGACGGTCGAAATGACAGACTGGACTTCTACATAGAGTGCTTCTGCAGACGTGCACAGGCTGAAATTGTGAACAGCCAGCAGAACTTGTCCCATAACCTCAGCTGTACAGAACGCAATGCCATCCACAGCCTCAGAAACAACTCTGATATTATAATCAAAGGGGCCAACAAAGGAGGTGTTGTGGTCAGAATGAACAGGTCGAATTATGAACAGGAGGCTGCCAGGCAACTCTGCAACACCACATTCTACAGGCCACTATCCTCTGATCCCACTGAGGGGTACCAAAAGAAACTACACCATTTGCTCAAGAAACTCCCTGCTATAGCACAGGAACAAGTCTACATGGACACACCCCTAGAGCCCCGACCAGGGGTATTCTATCTGGTACCCAAGATCCATAAACCTGGAAACCCTGGACGCCCCATCATCTCAGGCATTGGCACTCTTACAGCAGTATTATCTGGCTATTTGGACTTTCTCCTCAGATCCTACGCTACCAGCACTCCTAGCTATCTTCGAGACACCACCGACTTACTGACGAAACTACAATGC